ATATTCATTACCAACTTCTTCCAAGTATGTTTTGAACATGATACATGATCCAAGTAAACAACAGTTTTCTAGATAAATTGACGATTTCATCATATTCCTTAAAATAATTTCTTCTCAAAATTCCAGAAGGCAATGTTCCCTACAATAAGTTTTCAAATATTCCCTACTTTGAAGTTCAAGGACTTGTAAATGATATTTGACAGGAGTTTCCGCAAAATTCAATGAAAATGAATCATCAAACAATTTTCATTCATTTTCTTGTTTTCGGAAGTCAAAAAATCTGGAAAACATGAGGCAACATAATTGATCATTTTCTTGTAAATTTATCTTAAGTTTAGATTTCCATTGTATCTAAGAAGGCAAGATCATTCAACCATTCTTAAGTTTCTAAACATTACATTTTGTAACTTCTGTTGCATGAACTCTTGTATTTTACATAAACTAATCTTTCAAAATTTTCTGCTTTGCTGAATTGCCTGACATTGAGTAATTAATAACACATTACTTAGTAATAAATAACAATGCCAACGTCTTCTGAATATGTTTTGAACTTACAAAGTAGATTCTACCCACGATCGAAATGTTCGCAAACAAATTCAATATGTGTTTTTAAAGTCAAATAAATTTCTTGCAAGTTCCTAGTCATGCTCTTTTTCTTAACCCTATGGATCTAAGCTCAGCAAGGCACATTCACATAAAGTAGTATAGTAACCTGTAGATCACTAAAGTTACCATGTTGAGCTGGCCCAAGCCATAATACACAACTAGTAACACATCAATTTATAGTTTGAACATGACATAAACATACAATACTGTGGGTTAACTTGATTAAGAACTGAATTTACTACTCATTAAATGTGAAAGTTAAACTGACACAATTGAAAATTTATTGATAAATATCCACACAAGTTGTCTAATGAAATATGACATGTTATCCTTCAACTGACAGAAACTGAAAATGAATGTACATATTAATCACACCTATTATCACTATAGTAATAATCATTTCACAAAAGTATTAACACTTTGGCATACAAAGCATAGCACATAATCAACCATAATTAAAAACTTACTATTGTGTTTAGTAGGTTTCATACATTAACAAAATACTTAACTATTCAAATGACAACAGTAAGTTTTTATGAAAATCATTTATGTTGTTTTGACTAAATAAAATTGCGATTACAGATGTTATTTAGGCTCTTTAATCGTTTCTGCTATTCCTACATTCAAACAAGGAACTGTGTACTCTTGAAAATTAAGAAGTCCACAATAAATGATTATGAAGAAATAAAGTAATTTGGAAAAAAAGAAAATAATTGCTGAGTCAATGTTATAAAAAATTGCTAAGTCAAACAACAAAGTCTCAAAATTGATTTCTTTATCTTTTTTTTCTTCTCCTCACATGTTGTCTTTCATTTCAGATGAACAAGCAGAAATGGATAAAACAAATCACCTCTTCATCAACTTTGAATATGCATCAAATTTAATCATGAAGCTTAAAGACAAACATACAATTTTATTATTTCAATAAGAATGAACTGATGTTCATGTCAAAAAAAATGTGTATGAGCATAACCTAGTGCTCTTTCTTAACATGGTGCTAATTTTCAACTGAGAGGCGAAATGTGTATGAAACAAATAGTTTCATTGTAATTATTGTTAGAATGAACATGCTCTAAGTAAAGAGGTAGCTCTATAATAGGTTTACCCACGTATGATGGTGAAAACATCATACATAATACTTAGAAAGTCCTTGACAAGTCAGTGTATGGTCTATTTCATGCATTGCACTGAATTTTGTGCAAGAAACTTCTGGTCAAATGAATCCAAGATCCACAAGGTCCAGATAATAAAATATAGTTTTGGTTCATGACCAAAACTAACGTGCCCGTTTGTTCAGAGAATGCTTGGAAGCTTGGAGTTTATGTTTACTTTGTAAATGAAATTGAAAATAAGTGGAATGCAATTTGGCATTCTGATCAATTAATTATGACAAACTTCCTTTAAAGGTTGAAAGAACTGCTTGGTAACTTGTCCAACAATTCCTGAAGATTTTAAATAGTTCAAGTGGCTTTATCTTGTGTAATAAATTTTCACCGTCACACAACTGCTTTCCAAAATAATGATATATAACATTTGAAGTTATTTAAAAAATGATGCTCTATTAAAATCATTTTGATTTTCTTGAAACTAAGCTTTTAATAATAGTGAAAAATAAACTTTGGCAATCCACAGGACATACTCGTTTCTTCCTTGTACCAAAGGACAGTTAAAAATCTACTCACTCAAACTTAAATAGTTTGCAAGTAATTTTCAGCAACTTACTCTACAGATATGGCCCATCAAGCTTTGTAAAATAAAGTGTTGTGAAGTTTTATTAATTCTCATTGATTCCCTGATCACCATTATTAAACCTGTCATGTTGAACTAAATCAAGGGTGGCTTCAGAAAATATTTAAGGGATCTACATTTAATTGTATTTATTTATGTAAAACTGTTTAATTTATACATTAGTTTTAATTTGTATTTTTAAATTAATAAGCATTTTGAAAGTAAAACCTTTAAATCATATTTTTTATAAGACTTTCTACTAGGACTAGATTTTCTACTAGAAAAAATTGGATTTAAACTCTGCGGAAACCTTTAAAATATTATACTATTTTACAAGTACATTTTTTATATTATTAAATAAAATACAAATACATAATTTTGAAGCATGTTTACAATTGTTTAAAAATATTTTTTATACCTATACATTTTCAAACAGTGGAGGATGGGTGGCAAGGCCTCTATCTGGAAATACTTATCATGTATGTACTCATCCTAGTACTTTCATCATCAGAATTTTTTGCACAAATGCATGTGGGAAGGAGTCCTATAAAAATTACAGAAAACTTTGAATACCGTCTCAATCCAGGACTATAATATTTGCAGCTCTTAGCCATTGCAAAATACAATTCTTCATCAATTTCAGTTTTTTACTGAGTAAATACATAATTTTTAAAGGTTGAATAAATGAATGTAAATTCATGGTTTCAAATGATTTAATGTAAATATGATTTTATAAATATACATTTTTTAAGATTGAAATAACTTAACATGAGTTGACTTGTACTAGCAAAGCCAATTATCAAAAATTCTGCATGACGAGAAATAAAAATCCATGAAGTCCCTTAGATAAATTCAGGTAGAAAATTGCCAACAAAAAAAGTTTTTGCAATAAATAAATGCCCTATTTCTTTGGTATTAAAATTTGATACTTACAATTTTATATCATGAAATGAATCTTTCAAAGGGACACATTGAGAGAAAAATGTAAGTAGATACAAAAGTGAGTAGAATTTATAACTAATTGTAAGAAAACACATTTCTGAATCCATATTTACAAGACATGTTTTTCATAACTATACGAAGTACTAATGTGACTTCTCGTCACTGTAATGCTTTTAACCATGTCTTAAAATGTCCCTTTGCTTCATATTATAAATAAAAACATTTCTCCAAAGGAAGTGAATATTCAATTAATGTTGCCAACTCCTGAGCAGTAATATTTATTGTCATGAAACATGCAATCATGAAGTAGTAAAAGCTAGAAGGCACCTCAATTGTTACAGAAAGAGGATAATCAATGCTTTAACAATTAAATTAATTTATTAACTTCAGAAGCTTCTTCCGTTCACCTTAACACACAAAAAAGGTGATGTGAGACAGTAATTAACAACTGGAAGTCATATGGAGCACTCTATACAGGGAATAATTATTCCTTTAAAAGAAGAATCATAGTATTTCAGTAGCATGTTTCTTCAATGTTTGTCACTTTCTACGAATACTTCATCTCAATGTGTCCCTCTTTAACCTCCCAAATCCCACATTAATTTTTTAAAAATTATATTACAATAAACATTAAAAATGTCACCTACAATAGAAAGACAAGTATGTTTATTAAAACATTTAGAATATGTACACTGAAAGGAAAATATTAAGGGGAAAAGATACAGCTTCACTACACCTGTAAAAACTGCCATATAAAAAGTGAACGTAATTTCACAGGAGAGATTCAGGCCCCATAAAAGGGAGAAATTAAAGTGCAGCACATGGCTGAATTTTGTCTGCTCAAACGAAACCATGCAAGATTAGTATATAGTTTTAAGGAACGATTTAAGTATGTCGTTTCTTGCTTCTGAACAGACACATAATTCTTTATCAAAAAAAGTTTACAATTTTACATGCAAGAGAATTCAAAATAATGAGTAGACAGAGGGTGAGTTGGCAATTTGCTCAACAGGTGGCATTCAAAACTCCAGGGGAAAAAAGGCAAATTAACCAACTGGTGATTAATGACCATCTTTGCTTTTGCAGCAGTCAAATAAATTCTGTCAAGGGCAAATTTATTATTTTCCAGCAAGAGACATTACATTCTTGATGGATGATCTTTAGCATCTTTACTGTAAAATCTGAAAATGAGGAAGACCGGGCCTTTTTTCATTTCTAATACTATTTTTCCACAAAGAAATTTAATAATTTGCATTTAACAAGTTGTAAATTATCACTTGCACAATGTTATCATTATGATCCTGTATATTACCTGTTACTTTATTGAAAGACAGAAATTACACAAAAAAATAAGGTCATAAAACCTCTGGAATAAAGTTGTCACCCCCTAAGAGGCATAAACAATTTCATTAATATTCAATACTTTGCTATAAAAATGTACATACATTTAATTTGATTTATAGTTTCCGCACATCTTCGTAAGTATTTGGTTGTTAAAATTCAGATACTACTGGAATTCATAAGATACAACACACCTCGTACAACATTGAGAACAGCAATTTGATAAAATATTAAAAGAATGAGAAATACTACATATACAGAGAAACTCCATTTATACGTTTCGCACTTACACGTTTTCCACGTTTGTAAGTTGTTGTTTTTCTGGCAAGTCCCAGATAAATTCCTATAATTCCCATGCTAAATTATTTCAGATATGCGTTTTACGGTTATACGTTTTTCACACTTTTAAATTAATAATAACAGTCCTTTTGAGACCATATTCGTATAACTTCCAAATGTTCCCGCAGAAGTGACGCGTAAGGCGCCGGGCGACCTTCGCCCTTCACCCTAGACGGCACGCTCCAGTGCTCTCCCGCGGAGCGATCTCTCGACCTGAGGTGACTTCGCGTCAGGGACATTCCGTAAATTACGGAACGCAAATTTGGAGTATTTTGAATACCCCCTCGGTAACGGACCCGTAACGCGTGATTGAATTACGTAACGCCTAATTACGTAACGCTTTTCACTCACACACACACATGTGTATTCAAATTTATGATAGTTAAAGTCGGAATTAGTTGTCGCCGTTTTGGATGGCGCTTGGGCGAGAATCTATTGGGCGAATTTAACTGAATTTTACAAAAGATTACACATTAGTTTCGAAAATTTTCTTCATAATTGAATACAAAATTGAAAATAAAATATTTCAATTTATTGTAACAACTAACAACTTTAAATTATTTATATTTTAAAATAAGTTAATTAGATAATATTTTAATGATTTAGTATGACTGAAAAAATTTAAGTATTTCAACAAACGTTAAAAAAATATGTAACACTAATCTAATACCCCTCTGTGTACGTAAGCTTCCGCGGCTCGAATCCATGAATTCTCGGCTGTCCGGGAACCTGCCCCTCCCGAGAGCCCAGGCAAGATAGTTTAAATCAACGGGCGCGTAGCGCCGCAGTGTCAC